CGATTTGTTTAAGGTTTTTTGGTAATTGTGAAATCTTTATCAGTTAGTGAAATAAAGAATTGTAAGTATGTTGACGATTGATGAGATTTAGATATATGATAACTAAAAGACTAAAAGGGCAGTTAAAATAAGGAATATGTTAGAATTCTGTTACAATGGAAACGGATGATTTAGAATTAATGAAATATGTTTATCTTCTGTTGTAGCTGTAGTGTTAGTCTCTAGCATATTTCGATGAACAACAATTAAATAATTCTCTTAGATTCACTAATTTTATAAAATGCAGAATACTTAGACTTATTATTTAAAACAAAATAAAAACTTATTAATCAAAACGTAACAATATGAACTCGTTTATACCGTGCGAGTTTCATATATGTTACGGATAATTTGAAAATAATGAAGATTCTATATTTTAAATGCTTAGAAGGTTTAATAAGAACATTTAGAAAATACTGTGTATCTTATATAACATATAAATATTAAACACAGTTTTTGTTTATATTATTTGTTACTTTGTATTATTACTATTTTCCGTTTTGCGTATCATTTCCTTTTTTTTGTATTTTTTGTAAAATTTTTTGTTCTCTACTAATGTATTTATTATGTTCTCTACTAATGTATATACTCTTATAATGTATTTATTATTGCAAAGGAGTAAAGAACACGGTATATTAATAGTATGCAAATAAATAAAAGGTGTGCTATTACATCTAACAAGATTTCATAAGAAGCAATTTTTTCAACAATTCTATGATAAGACTTGTTCTCATTCGATTTATATTATTCAGTAAACGATGGGAACAGTTTTAATCCAAAAATAAATATGTACGTTCAATCGGTTAACCCCTTGATCTATTACCACGATTCAGATTCGTGGTAAAAAATTTGTGCTATAAGCGAACACCACGAGTCTTACTCGTGGTAAAGAATTTGTGCCATAAGCGAGTACCACGAGTCTGACTCGTGCTAAAGAATATGTGTTTTGAACGAGCGGGTACACAGCGGAACAGTTGAATTGCACAGCGCACGACCGATTTTCAAGTTTCTTATGGCACGCGAAATTATCAGATATCGCGTACGTCAAAGGGTTAAAGATTTTGAAAGATCATGTTTACTCCAGGAAGATATTAAAATGTTAGGAGAAGAATTATCAAACTTATTATTTTTCAAACTTATAAAGCAGAGTATAATGAAGAAGCTATACAGGAATCAGAATGAACAAAGCTATAAGTTCGTTATATTTGAATGTTCGACTGGCTGTAGTTTCGATTAAACTCATTTATTGAAACAAAAGAATGATCCGACATTAGAGGAATTTCTTAAATGATACTGATTTCATTTAGGTGGATGATGTTAATATATATCGAGACATGACAATTTTGTCTGTTAATAATTATTCGAAATGAAACAAAATTAATCAGAGAATTATGAAGAACACGAAGATGTGCGTCACTTCTATACGATATATTCTACAAAGGTAATTATTTAAGACTTTTTATTCACGGTTAACTTTATTATTATTAAATAGATTCTTCTGAAGCGTATAAAAATGAATGACGTAAAGGATTGTATGAATAATGAATTTGAAAATGATCATTCGAAAGAATTATGTGCATGGATCGAAAGTATACCATTCTCAAAACCTAAAAAAAATTTATCTCCTCTCTCCCTATATCGAGATTTTTCGGATGGCGGTACACACATTACACATATGTTTTTATAAAATATAAACATAATATATCAGATATTAAATAAATTAATATATATTATATTTAATTTTGTTGATCAGTATTGTTAGCTGAAATTCTCAAGGTGTATTATCCTCGTTACGTAGATCTTCATAATTATATATCAGCTAATAATTATTTTTTGAAAAAAGAAAATTGGAATACGTTAAATCGCAAAGTATTAACAAAGATAGACGTTAAATTAAACAAAGATGTTGTAAGTCAACTAGTTAATGGTCATCAAGAATCAATCGAGAAATTACTTTTTGAAATAAGAAGTAAAGTTGATAAAATCGATCAACGAGATGTTTTGCCATTAAGTGCTACGCCAAATTCTGAACAAAGTAAATTATATAAATTGATTTATTGTCGTTTTTTTTTTATAATAATACCGATTAATCATATTTTAATAGATAACAGAGATGATGTCAAACAACCGGTGAATATGAATGATGATAATTGTATTGAAACGTTGACATCCGAGAATAAGAATATTCAAGAATTAGCTGCTCCTTCTCATTTAACCATAAGCTATATAAAGGATGCAATATTTTATGCTGCGATATGGTTGTTCAGTTGGTTTTGCTTTTGGAATTTCTTTATGAATTACCGTACGTATTTAAATATAAATAATTCATTTTTCCTTCACATACACACATTTTATATTATTTTTTATTACTCATGCGAGGAAAGTACTATCTTTTCGGTAGCTATTGGGGTCGGAAAGACGCTGTTTACATACTTTACAATAACAACACGCTTTTTGAATAAAATAAATGTCAATTTGAGTGCGGAAAGTTTACTTGTCGCACCCAAATTTTACTTACTGCACGAAAATTGACAATAAAAAGAACACAATCAAAGTATCAATATTGTAGGCGATAAGATTAATATGTAGTTCTTTCTTTATTTTATTTCTTGTTTAAAAAGGCTATCTTAGACTATAACATTAATATTTAGTTCTTCATTTATTTTATTTCCTGTTTGAATACGATATCGATCTTGGTAGGGATCCTGTAGGAGGGATGCGCCATTCATATTCAGCTCATGTGCCATTGGCTGAAAATTTTGGGGGACCGCTTGAATTTATAATAATTTTTTCGTGTAACCTATTCTATTTTAATATAAATTTTTAATTATCATTAAGTATAGTTCATTTTTTTTCTGTATTTGATGCAATTCATTATTTCATAATTATTTCAATGTTTGAATCATTCGCGCGCAAAATCGAGTTCTGGTCCCCCAGCAATGTACATGGTGTATCCCTCCTATAGGATCCCTAGATCTTGGTGAAAGGAAACTCTACTCGGAAATTGGAGGGAAACGATATTCCGGTGTTAAAAAAAAAAACGAAGTTCCGTTATCCAAATAAATTTACTTAAAATTTTTTAACCTTTTCAGAATTGTTTTGTGGAACCCCCGCCGGGGCTCTACCCCTGGACCCCAATTATGTACCAAATATGTCCCCGCATTCGTAATAAAAAATAGTATAAGCAACTAGTGCGCAGTTGTCGATTGCCCACTCGAGCGACTGAGCGCCCTCGCTTCACTCGTGCGCTCAACTTTGCTTTAGTACGTAATCGACAACTTTATGCACTAGTTGCATAATATAATATGTTTTTATTTAAACGATATAATACCAACGATACTTACAATAACGTTTAATTTTCTTACAGGAATAAAGAACAACATAAACGAAAATAAAGCAATCGAAGTAGATCAGGAAGACGAACACGTGCCACGTCAAATCTGTATTCAATTGAAACAAGAATTACGTGAGAAAGATAATTTAATATGTACTTTGAATCATCAGATCGCTTATTTAGAAGGTGCAATGAAATTGAAAGACTTACGTATATCAAGTCTAATGTCAAAGATAAATTGTAATTCGTATTCACATTAACTTGACATATTTATATTAAATTCTGAGAGTGAATGAAACGTTGCTTCAAAATTTCCCGTATTGTCAATATTTCGTATATTTCAATGGGTTGACAAATTATATAAAAAATTATCTATCATCGACGTTTTRAAATTTCATTTTAATTTAATTCACCTCAATCCATACTCAACTATGTTTCAATGATTACTGACTATAGTCAGTTCGCTTTCACTTATATATYTACCATGTACGTTACGTTGTTTCATTCACGGTCAACATGATATTATTCGTTACATCATAGATCACATCTCACGCGTATCCATATTACCGAGACGAAAATTATAGAATATTTGTCGACAGAAAGATATGCCGTCCTAATTCAAGTAAATATAATATATATTTTTTTGAAACTCCGGTAGATGAATTTTTTCTTTCACTCTTTTCACCTTTCCTTTGAATTTGAGATATCTTTATCATGGGTTAACATACACAGGTATTTCTTTTTGTGTTGCAACTAATAACTGTAGATGCTGTTAAAGAAGGGAACAATTGTGGTAGTATTTTTTTTCGTTTCATCGGGTTTTCAATTACAACGATTTTAAAATCTATTTCTATTTTCGTTGTTTTATTTTATAATATTAAAAAATTTTTTTAAAAATTTATTTTCTATATTTTTTTTCTATATTTGTAAAATAAGTTATATTATTTTATTCTTATTAGAAATATAAAGTAAATAAGTGTGACGTCCCAGAAGGGGATGTCAACGAACAAGCACAATTTCAAAGATAATTCCTTTTGACTCGGTCACGAAGCCACATAGTATGCCACTCCGGCGTGCCTGCCAACTTCGGTTACACTCGACTTCTTTCGACATCCCAAACACACGGACATGGAAAACTTTCATTGTGTGCAATCCCAGTGGCACAGGGAGAGGGTAAGATTTACCCACGATCTGACAGCACTGCCCTGAAGCTGCTCGGGTTCCGTAGTGCTAGCGCCGTGTAGGTAGGCAACAGGATTTGTGTATGATGAGGAAATWAATTCAACTTTGCACAAACACTTCCAATTTTACGAAAATAACAGTATATTACTAAATAAAGTTAAAATTACACAAGATCTTTATTAACAGTAAAGCAAAATA